ACTTAAACATGATCTGTAGCAAAGTTAGTTTTGGAATCCTTAAGGTCTGTAGCACGATCAATTTAATTATGTGAATTCTTTAAATGTTCTTCATAAACATCTAGATACCAGTTTGTAAATTATAATTTGCAATTATTGTCGTCTTTGTATTCTGATACTTTCCTCTTGTCTTTCCCCCAGATTATTATGTTAGTTTTAGCCTGGAAATTAGAGGCTGAAAGCATGGGATTTTTTACCAAGGAAGAATGGTTAAAGGGGATGACCTCATTACAGTAAGAGCTTTTTATATATGATAGCGTGTTCAAATTTGTGTTTGAGGCAGCGGATGTTCATTATCCTTCTCTCAATTTCTAGATCATATTCAGATAATAAAATATAGTACCTTTTGCTCATAGATCACCAGTTCAAATCTGGCCCCTGCCAGTCGTTAGAAATACCAGACATCTGCCATCTAATCATCAATGTAACGATTTCTCTTAAATAAACTGGTGGTCTTGTTTCAGACCCTAATAGACTAATGGTCACTTAACAAAAATCTTATCTTGAAATATCATCTTAGTCTGCAGACACATAGTGTTGAGGTATCTTGGTGGGCAACTTGGGGAAATTTGAATTATTGCATCAGACACTATACTGACTCCGTGAACAGAGGATTTCAATATCCATTCACTAATGCTGTCAGTCACCTGTATTATTCTAGCAAGAGGCTGGAAATGCCACCTCTTTGTGACATTAGTATACATTAAGCATGTATACTTTGCCTAATGTTTCCATTATAAAAGTTTCCTGGGAGTTTTCTTTGAGAAGCTCTGATATCTCCATTGTTCACAGGTCTATGATGTTGTCACTGAGAGAGCCCTGAGTCTGGAGGAGCATTTCCTTTCTCTCATGACATTTCATTCAGCTTTTTGCTGTGATACTCTTAAAATCACAATTTCCTCTCTCTGCTCAGGAAACTTTTGACCACATGCCAAGATAACTAAACATGAACATTCTAAGACTGGACTGCCATGGCAACAACAGCATTCACTGTAATGGAGATGCTAGGAAGGCGCCAGAGCAGCTGTAATTTGGGAAGAAGAAAGCTGAGATAACTCCACTGATCTGGCACATGACCCTTGTAACGCATGTGCCCTGCAAGTGCATCATATGTGGCAGGATTTTCTTCTTCCCAGTGAGTGCTGGGGAAAGAATCAGACTGTAGTCTATTCTGTAAACCCATCTGGACACAGCAACTCTTTTCAATTCCTCCTCCAAGGGCATCACATGGGATAGGAATCTCCTCCCCCAATTCCCTCTTTTCTGTTTAAAAAAAATCTTTTAATGAACTTTTTAAGAAATTACATTAAAAACTGTCAAAAGAATGTTGCAAAGCTAAGCACTCCAAAGTTAGGAAATTCCAGACCTACAGATGCCTTTCACTCTTAATTCAATCCCTTTGGCTATGTCTACACTGGCATCCCTTCCGGAAAAGGGATGCTAATGTAGCACTTTGGAATAGGCAAATCTGCGGGGGATTTAAATATCCCCCGCGGTATTTGCATTAACATGGCTAACGCTTTTTTCCGGCTTGGAGATAAGCCGGAGAAAAGCGCCAGTCTAGACGTGATTCTCCGGAAAATAAAGCCTTTTCCAGAGGATCTCTTATTCCTACTTTCAAGGCTTTATTTTCCGGAGAATCACGTCTAGACTGGCACTTTTCTCCGGCTTATCTCCAAGCCGGAAAAAAGCGGTAGCCATGTTAATGCAAATACCGCGGGGGATATTTAAATCCCCCGCGGATTTGCCTATTCCAAAGTGCTACATTAGCATCCCTTTTCCGGAAGGGATGCCAGTGTAGACAAAGCCTTTGTGTGTATATATAGGCTGATAGTCTTTTATTACATGATTACATACTATTTTTTCACAGGACCTTGCCTCAGTCAGTACACAGGATGGACGCGCAAGAGGGCAAAATTAAGGTTACTTGTGCAACTATAATCTAACATTTCCTAACTTTGGAGTTTTTTTATTGTGCAACCTAAATAATACTTTTAACATACTGTGGGTTTTTTGAATGCAGTTACTTATATTTGCCCAAAATTTAGCTTTGTAGTTATGCAAGACAGATTCTTGCTTCGAAGATCTTATGTTCTACCTAGATAGTTGCCATGGAAGAAGAGGAATATAAATCTGGTATCTTAATTAAATTTAGTTCCATACATAATTGTAACCCTTTTTAATTCTATCTCTTTTCTTTGTTTTTAACCATAGCTATTTTAGTCCTTTCCTTTTTAATCCTTCTGTTATTGTTTTAACTAAAACTTATTGACAACTCCTCTCCTAATTTTGAATCCTTACCTCTCTTTTTCCTTTATTAATAAACAATAAGAAGCAACCAGGACTATGTAGTAATCAGAATTATTAACTGTGATAAATGGTCAGTTTCCACAATGGTATAAAGCAGCATTCTACAAGGATCAGTACTGGTACCTCTCCTGTTGAACATATTCATAGATGATCTGGAAAAGCAGGTAAACACTACAGTGAGATGGCAGAGTTTGCAGATGATACACAATTACCCAAAATTGACTGCAAAGATTTACGAACGGATCTCACAAAACTGGGCAACCAAATGGCAAGGGAAATTCAGTGTTTAAGTGCAAAGTAATTCACGTTGGAAAACATAATCCCAACTGTACTTACAAAATGATGGAGTCTAAATTAGCTATTACCACTCCAGAAATCTTAGAGTCATTGTGTATAGTTCTCTAAAAATAACTGCTCAGTATACAGTGGCAATCAAAAAAGCTAAGACCAGCTCTTCTTTGAAGTAAATCCCTACAGAGGGATTCACTGGTGAAAATTACTTTTCTGTGCCGATGTTGGTGAATCTAACCTAGAGGTGGGCAGTAAAACAGTGGCAGTTGAACAGGATTAGCCCTTGACAAGCTGCCACTTTACATACCTGCACCTCCCCAAGTATGGTGGCTTGTAGCTCATGTTGGCTGCAGGTTGCTGTTCCTGGCCAATGGGAACTGCGGGAAATGGCATGAATCAGGACACCGCTTCCTGCAGCTCCCATTGGCCGGGAACGGTGATCCACAGCCAATGTGTTCTGCAAGTGCCCATGCCTCCAGAGGCTCAGGTAAATACAGCGGTGGTTACAGCCCACCAGAGGCTAACCGTGGTGAATCATGTCTGGCCTTCAAGCTGATTATTGCCCGCCACTGATCTAGCCCGTGCACTTTCTTTTTGAAGAGCCATGCTAAAAAATATTCCCAAAGTTATTTTTAATAGAACAATTGCATAAGCAATAACTTCTATACTTGTAAATTCTGTTCTGAAATTTGTGAACCACCTTTTCTGGTATTTGCTTTCAGCTAAGTCTTATAAAACACAAATAAGCTCTAGGATATTTTGTATAGTGCTTAAGCAATCCTGCAACTCTTACATATGTCTAACTAATGAATAATTTTTGTACTCAAGGTGTGCAGCATTGGGTCTTCACTTGCAGCTGTATTCTGCTGCACTTACTGACGTTTATCTTACTTCCTCAGGCTTGAAATACTTATGGAGCAAAGTGCTACTAAACACGAGTAATGTAGCAGAATCTGGCCCTTAGCGATTAAAGGTTTATATTCTGAACAATACAAGAAGTAAATTTAAACTGTGTACTTGGAAAACGAAAATCTGTTTACATGGCTTGTGGATCCCTAATGTCAGTGATTTGTAAATGGTAAACGCTTCTGGAAAACAGGCTTATATTGCTCTCTACAAATATTTTTGTAATAGGAGCAAACCTGAACTCTTGCATATAGGGTTTTTTATTTTTTTTAATTTAACATTATTTGTTTGGTTTTGTTTAAGGTGTGACTGCACAGAAAGGTTACAGAGTAAGTTTGATTTTTTGCGGTCACAACTGAATGACATTTCATCGTTTAAGAATATCTACAGATATGCCTTTGATTTTGCAAGGGTAAGTCTGTCTGATCATTAGAGTATTTGAATACAGGTTCCTGTATCATTTTTTTCTAAGTGTCCCTTTCTTTGTAATTTTAGGATAAAGACCAGCGAAGTCTTGATATCGATACTGCAAAATCTATGTTAGCTCTTCTGCTTGGAAGAACATGGCCACTGTTCTCAGTATTTTATCAGTACTTAGAGGTATGCCCCGTTATATTGTTTTAAAGAATAACAAATAGTCTCAACTGTCTGGCTGGTGACATTCTAGTATGCTGTTGTAAGAAAAGGTTTTGAAGCTTGAGTACCTCTGTTTGAGGGTACAGTTATATTGCTCCTCCATTTCCCATTGATTGACACATTTATGGAATAGTAATAGCTTCTGTATGTTTCAAAGGAGAACTCTTTCCTATCCTCTGCACTCTTCCAACGCAATGGGAGCTATAATATAAGTAACTGAAGTTTCTTCCTTCTCATAATGAAAAGGTAAGCTTGGAGTTAAATGTACCTGTCTACCACTTAAACCACTACAGGACCCAAAGTGAGTATCTTTTGAGGACTCTACTTTAGCTCGTAGCCTGGAGGGAAGGTGAATCGTTTGTTGAATTTGGCTCAGTACAAGATGTAAAACACATCCTTGTCTCAGCTTCCCAATAACAGCCACTAGATTCTCTTTTATTTTCTGGACATTATCCACAACGAATTTCTGAGAGAAACTGCTCTGGCTTCTACAGAAAACTGCAGACTATATCCCCTCTAATCTTCTGTTTGTTTTTTCAGCTGGTTTGATATGCCCTGAGAGATCATTTCAATGGGCATCTTGTAAATTGATTAAATAATGGATGTCCATATCCAGAAACGGAATTGTGTACATTGGGCAATAACTCTGACTCTAGAAATATTAAAAATTAAAGAAGTAACTTTATCAGATCCCCTGATGAAATATTTTTTATTTTTCTTAGCAATCAAAGTATAGAGTTATGAACAAGGATCAGTGGTACAATGTGTTAGAATTCAGCAGAACTGTGCATGCAGATCTTAGCAACTACGATGAAGATGGTGCATGTAAGTGTTCATAACATTGTTTGTTCAAGTGTAGTTTTAATGTTCTGGAGGAGTAAACTTAAGGTTTGCAAAAAGAAACTTTACGTTAAAGTACAAAATATAATTTAGAATAAAATCTAAAGAAAAACTGGTCTGATGACTAACTAGCAACAGGCCAGATCATCATCAGTTGTTAATTGGTGTAGCACTCTTGACGTCCACAGAGCTGTGCTAATTTACAGTAGCTAAGGCTCTGATCCATTGTATTCAGCTGCTACATGAAAACTTGGGTTTGGAAACAATCTCTCTTTTGAGCCACAGTGCTGGGCTCCAGTTAAACTGGAGCAACATAGGGCACATCCAAACTACATTCCTGTTTTGAAAGAGCAATGTAAATGAGGGAAATCAAAAGTGCAAATAGAGTGCAGCTTTAAATATCTCATGCTTCATTTGCATTATTGCATCAGAGTGCTTTTTTCGAAAAACGATTTTTCGATAGTGAAAGCGCCGTCTAGATGGGGTTCTTTTTAAAAAAAAAAAAAAAAAAAAAACTTTTCAAAAACTCAGATTCTTTTGAAAAAGGTTGGGTTTTTTCCCCCCCAAAAGAACCCAGTCTAGACTGCGCTTTCACTTTCGAAAAACTCTTTTTCAAAAAAGCATTCGGACACGAATATGCAAAAAAGCTCAGGATATTAAATCCGTGCTCCATTTGCTCTTTCGATTTGCCTCATTTACATTCCTCTTTCAAAAGAAGAATGTAGTCTAGATATAACCATAGTTTCCCACCCTTGGCAATGATCTGTGGTTCTCTTCCAGCCAGAGCTAAAGTACAGTCAAGTATATTACATTGTTATTGAATAAGGCATTTCATATTGCTCCTTTTTCTAGGCAATTGCATGCAACTTTGAAATGTTTAGAAAAAGGGAATTCTTTGATTTAGTTTGTAGTGTAGCCCTAATAATATGTTAATTTAATAAATCTACTCAAATTGTCCTTTTTTTAAAAAAAAAAAAAATCACCTTCTCCAGGCCCAAGTACAACTCTGTTTTTAGTTTTGATATAATTTTAGTAATCTCAAATTTTTCATAAACACTTTATCATAATGATTGACACTGAATCCAATCTAGGCTGATGGAGGTTAGCTTTCAGAATTCAAGAAAAAGGTTTCAAGGGGTTTTTTTGGTATGTTTGGGGGGGGGGGTTTAAAGCTTTGCATCCTGTAACTTTAAACGTTGCTATTTGCAGGGCCCGTCCTCCTTGATGAATTTGTTGAGTGGCAAAAAGTTCGTCAAGTGTCATAGCAAGAACTTTGGAAAAAATGCAGGATTTTTTGATGCCCACCTCTCTACAAACTTAATGAGATAACATTTTCATGCTTATGAAAGACTTTACAGTGATTTTTTTTTCCTTTTTTTTTAAAGGAAGTTTTCTTGTTACATGTGATATGGGCATTGAACGGCACCTCTTCTGAGACTGAAAGTTGGAGTTTGTTTTTGAGTCTTATGTTTATAGCATTTATTTCAGATCAATAAAGATCCAGATTTGTGACAGAGGCCTGAAAGTGAAGGATATCCCTTGAGTGTGGTGTCTACTTTTGTAATTCAAAATTTTAAATTTTTCTTTCTCAGAAATGCCCTTAGCTATAGGTGGGTGGGTGGATGGGTTGGTTGGTTGGTTGGTTGGTTTAAATAAGCTTAACTGGCACTGTAGTTTATTGATGGTATGATTGTCTTTTGTGACAGAAGTTAGGAGGAATGACTGTTGATCTTAATCTCTGGGTGGTATTATACTGGTTTGTATAGTAGTACCAGACATGAGTTGTGTCACAACATTCATCTCCAGGTGAAGCCTTAAAAATTATTTTTTCTCCAGTACACAGTCAGGGCTGGATCATTTAAAGGCATGGTCATTTTAAAAAAAGTGTTATGTGCATGGCTCCATGTGCTGCATGGCTAGTACTAATATCAAACAGTACTAATATCAAAAAGTACTAATGTTAATACTGTTTGGTACAGCAAGGCAGCTGTACACTTTTACCACAGTTTAGTCTCTGGAGTCCTTTGAGTGAAAAATGCAATTTATATTTTAAAAGGGAAAGCTGGGAACACTTAATGACTTTGCTTCAAAGCTAATTTATGTTCTCATACATTGTATTAGAAGCATTCACAAAGATGATCATCTTGACTTTGCTACCTAACGGTTATTTATTAATAGTTTAAGGACAGAAAGGACCATTAGATCATCTAATCTAACCTCCAGCATATTGCAAGCCATTACATTTCCCCCAGTTATTCCTGTGTTGATCCTTAGAATTGCTTTCACTTGCCTTATTTTAGCATCTGATATCCACTCACAACATTTAAATGTGGGGAGATGGTGTCACTATCCTTTCCTATCAGTGACGATGGATACTGTATTGAAGTCTTGGCACACCCGTGAAGAAGAGGGAGTAGATTTAATGAGAGAAGGTGTAAGGCCAGGATGAGTGAGGGAATGAAGCATTTATGTCTTACTATATTATTACTTATATTGAAGTAGCACCACGCTATTGCAATCAGTGATCAAGACCCCATTGTGCCAAATGCTGTAAATGCAAGAAATAAAAAATACAGTGTGCTTCTTGGGGCAGGGACACCACTAGATGTGACTTGAAGATCCGTGCCTCAAGGAAGTGATAATTGTTTTGCACACATTTTCTCCAGGCTCAGGAAAGACAAAACTCATAATTAATGTAACATTTTTTCCTGATTTCAGTAACTAATTTACAGTAGACAAAAGGGGAAAATAGTAGTGTCTCCATGTTCTTGTTGTACAATAGAAAAATGTTTACTCTTTTTTAGATTTGCCTATTTAAGTTGTAGGAGACAATGACTGCCAATGCATGAGCAGCCTTATAGTGTCACTTTATACTGTAGATTTACATTTTGATGGCTCTGTCAAAGTGAAGAAGCATTGAAAAAGACATTGAAATACTTTCACCTTGCTATGTTTATAAAAGGGCTCATGTCCACACACACATACTACAGCTGTCCTAAACATTTTTCAGGCCTTTTTGGAAAAAAAGACCTTTGCTTAGGTCCTGCTGATGTGTGCAGTTTACAGCATTGTTTCCCAAGAATGAAAGCCACACATCTGTATTTTCTGATACTTTTAACTTCATCCACAACACAGTGCCTTTTCTTTGGAAATTACCCACTATTTCCTGCAGAGAAGCAGTGCCAAGTCCTTTATTTCAGGAGCCCCAGAATGACTGACCAAGTAAGGTTCATAAGGTACATGGGTGGAGGATGCTCCAAAAGTTCTAAGAGAACAAAAACTGTTATGTAGTTGCCTTGAACTGTTGGAAGATGCAAAACGTGAAATGAATTCTTGAAGTTAAGCAAAGATACCATTGCTGGGAGTGTGCTCAGACCCTGTGAGGCTCAGAAAGATTAACTCTTTTTGAAACGTCTTGAAATACAAGTTAAGATATTAAATATTTGTAGTGTGGGAAAAAATCTCTTTAAGTAATTGAGACCTGTTGTGAATTCTATTTAAACAAGATGGTCCTAAGAAGTGGCAATAGTGTGACACAGTTGGAGTGATGCATCTGCTATAACCTAGGTGTTTAAATACTTAATATTGAGGTATAAAGATACTTTGATACCTCATTTGTATCTCTTAAGCTTTGTCAGTATTCCTATAATAAATCTATATTTCAGGGGTTTATAACGTGGTTGTGTGTGATAATGATATGAATTACTGTATAACTGCTTACCCTAGGAACGAATGTAGTTAGACTATTTAAAAATCAGTATAATTTTTAAATTCAATAAAAGGAAGGTTTTTAGTCATATTTTTGTGCTCATAACTGCAATCAGGTTTGTTCATAAGTGTGAACCACTGGCTTCCACAGTTGAAGTATGGATTTCTCATGTTAGTTCTTTTGTTAGAGGGGAGAGTAGTACTTAAACTTATTTGCATCTTAATTGCAGATAAATGCCAAAAAAGTCACTAATGTGGATATGAACAAACAAGTGAGGAAATACAAGCCAAATCTGAATCTGAATGCTTTAGTCTCCAGAATTCAGTTTTTGCTTGCTCAGGAGCATTTCATTTGATGGATTAAAAATAGCTAGAACAACTTTTTTCAATATATTAAGTCATTCACAAGTAAAATGCATTATCATATGTCTATAAAAGCAAAGTAACTTTAAGGAGAATAAAATGTAGTGTCTTCCAAAATCTAATGATAATGGTGTGTCTTCTGTGGTATTATGAATAGAAAACTTCCTCCCCAATTTTTACATTTGCATAGTTTCTTTTTATATAGCTTGTGTAAGTAATGTACAGTTTTCTTATGTTATAACAATTCATATTTATTTTTACATAGTATGTTCATGGTGAGGAGGGCAATAGTTCATCTATTTAAAGATGTGACTCGTTATTGAAAAATCATACTAATTAAAGGGTTAGCTGTGTGTTCATATAATGCAAATACATATTCACAAGTTTAACTTTATGCTTGTCCTTAAAGTTCCCCTGCTTAAGCATAAAGTTAAGTACGCTTATTTGTGTTTGCAAAATTGGGACCTGTATTGGCTTTTTGTATCATATTAACATTACCATTTAAACATCTAATCCTTTCGAAATATGACCGTATAATTTTAATAAATTTATATGCTGGAATTGATTAAATTAGGATTTTATTAATACAGGTCACACTTGTAGAGATCCCATTGTCAAAAGGGAGTGTGTCATAAATCATATTTGAACTGTTTGTTATTTCTTGGATATCTTTATTTCATACTTCCAAATCTTTGAGTAGTAGTACTCGTGGTGATGACAACATGAAACTTTCAGCAGGGGTCATACATTTTAATTAGTATTTCTGATGTATTTTGTTTTTAAAGCTAGCAAACAGCTTTGTGCAAAATGTATAAACTTGTCCAAGTTTAGCCTTGTTAAAATGAAGAATAAAGATAAATTATGTAATGGGGCAGAAAATCTGTTCCTGCTCCTGTCATGGTGCCTCTTTATCAGTGATTCATTTGGGTATATGCATCGTGTTTTAAAATCAAATGTACAACATTGGTAAAATACAACTTTACTGAATAACTTCTCAGACTCTGCCTGAGTTGCTGGAGAATGGAGATTTTTTTCTCAAACAAGAGCTAAGAAATGGCATGTCAACTTTAATTGCTCAGATTACTAGACAACAATTGTCTCTACTAGTGCCTCTAATAAAGATTCCATGTGTGTCAGATACCTTTTGCAACAAGCAGCTCCAGCTCCACTAGGAAAAAGAACACTTCTTCAGCTGATGGTACCATAAAAAGAGAGTGGCAATGTTTTTCAATGCACTTTCCTGTGCACCTTTTAATGTCTTTTCTGAGAGGAACTGAAAGAAGAACCCAGCCATCTAGCTGAGTTAGAAATATTTGATTATCTGCCTCCTTGAGATTCTGATCAACTTGTAAATATAGATTCAAGAACAAAAGCTATGGGGCAACAAGGACTTGGCATGAACAGCACATTCATTCTTCCATATGTTAAGCTGACACCATTATTCTGTCTTAAAATAGACACATATATTGCTGAGTCTAGACATGCACTGATGTTGACTTCTGAGAAAATCTGCACAGCTGAATTCAGAGACAAATTTTGGGTGTCAAGTACACTACTGTCTCCCATCCAAATTGAAAGGGGTGGGGAATATCTTCAGCCACTTCTGCTTCAATAGGGTTTTTGTTGTGTATATACTAACATTTTTCCAAAAATGACAAAATATTTTGTAATTATCCTTCCATAATTAAAGGGGGGAGGGATAGCTCAGTGGTTTGAGCATTGGCCTGCTAAACCCAGTTTTAGCAGTTTTGTGAGTTCAATCCTTGCAGAGGCCATTTGGGGCAAAAATTTGTCAGGGACCATACTTGGTCCTGCTGTGAAGGCAGGGGATTGGACACAATGACATTTCAAGGTCCCTTCCAGTTCTAGGAGATAGGCAATCTCCATTATTTTATTTATTTATTTATTTTATTTACTGCATAGTCTGTATACTCAATGGAGTGTATCAAGAACAATTTGCTGCTTGCCAGTTGATTGGGCTGTCAATGACATAGTGATGGGACTTAGAGGCAAGAACTCTTCTATAGCTGACTCCGTAGAACCATGGTCACCAACCAGTAGATGGCGAGCTACCGGTAGATCTCAGGAGCTGTAAGAGTAGCTCTTGAGCCCTCTCTGAACTGCATGCCTGTGCAGTCAATTTACATTAGATTTCCTCATTTGAGGAGCAGCTACTCACCGAGCAACATCACAGGTGAGTAGCTGCGAGGAATGGTGGAAGAGGGGAGGTCAGGAGGGCTGAAACACCCAGCCAGCTCCCTGGCTTTCAGCTGAAAGAGGCTGCCCCGCGCTCCAGCTGATCAGCGGCTTCCCCTCTGCGCCTGCCCCCGTGGAGCCTGGTGGCACCCTGACTGAGCACCATGGCCACCTGGCTGGGCAGCCACTTTTCTTCACTCCAGCCCGGCTGCCCTGCTTTATTTCATATCAAGTTTCTGAATTTGATCCATATTAATTCATAT